CCAGGAAAATGAGACGGGTACGGTTCGTGCGGTAGATTTGCTGCTGGGCAGATTAAACAGGGTGACGGACGATTGACTGGTTTCATTTTGAGGCCGCCAGGTAAAAGAAGCGAATTCTTGTCGAGAACAGCGGCTTTGATTGTGTTGTTGAGCGTAGACTGCGATTGATGACCAAGACGCTTATGCCATGTGTCTGCAGTAGCTTTGTGTCCCTGTGCGCGCAGATAATGATCGGCGTTAGCGAAGAAAGACAACAGCAGCCGATGACCGTCAGCGCGAACATGATCTGTGACAGGTGGGAGAAACCTGGTAAGGTTAGGTGGTGGAATTTTTATGTCAACGTCGATGTATTCGCCAGGTGAAAGAATTAACTCCCCGCTCACTTGATCTGATGCTGCAGGTTTAGGCTCAACGCCGACAAGTCGTCCGGAGTCGAGGACTTCCATGTCAGCGACACGCTGCTCTGCTTCAGTGAGAAGACGGCGATCACGATCAGCAGGTGTTTCTCCCCAAGTGGTCTCGTCAGGTTCCTGTGCCCCCCAAGCGCCTTCACCCATGGGCGTATTCGTCGTATCTCCCCAACCACCAACTTGAGCAAGATAATCTCGGGAGTTCTGGACGTCATTCAAGCCTTGATTGTCGAAGGTTAGCATGACAGCGGCAGCCGTGGTTGAAGACGTGGGTACAACTCCTTCACGAGGAACGGTATCATAGGTGTAATCGATGTCATCACGATGCTCCCATGGGCCGAGAGAGAGAATATTTTCGGAGTCGGCAGTGGTGCGTTCAGGTACGAAGTTGAGGACGAATACACCGTTCTGTTCGATTGTCGTGCCGAGTTTTCTGTCTCCATATTTTAAAGTAAATTTCCCAAGTTCGCCAAGAAGAGTAATCCCATTCCGCATGAGCTGTGCAGATGACATCAGTTTGAAGCCAAGTCGAGGAACGAGAAGTACATCGTTAAGGTGAAGACTGAAGTCTTCTTCAACGGAATCAAGAATGATGTTACCCATCCAATGTGTTGTAAGACGTTGATTGTTGGCGACGGTGACAACGCATGGGTTTTGAAGACGTCGCTGATTGATGACGAAACGGTTTTATGATGAACACATATGCTGGCCGCAACAACTGTCGAGATACCAAGTGTTGGGTCCTTCCAAGGTATATGCAAGATTGGCGTAGACCTCGGGTGGTATGGGCGTATTGAGTTCGTCGTTGAAGTTATTATGAACACGTTCTTCGGCGTCAGGATCGTAGACGGTAGAAACTGACGTCATACAATTAATAACTTCTTTCGCTTGTGTCTTGACAGGTGTAGCAGGCGGCTTCGCAGAGGTCGACTTCGCAGTATTTTGCTTCGCAGCTTCCGGCTTCTCAGCTTCCGGCTTCTCAGCTTCACCTGAAGAATCTTTGGTGTGTTTCGATGCAGACCGCTTCCAAGATGGTTTATCCTTCGACCAGCAGGTATCGATAGTATGACCTGCTTTGCGACAAAAGGAACAAACGGGCTTGTGACGTGGAGTAGAACAAAAACTGACTGTGTTGTTTACCACCTTTTTCCCTCATCGAGCGTTCTGCAGGTCCATATCCTGCTGCTCGGCGATGAGAGCAGCACAGAGTGCCCCCTCAGACAACGTTGCTTGCATCCGAAGAATAGAGCGACACTGCCGCCATTCTGGTCCAAGACCCGCAAGTAGCACCATGTGAAACATAGCGTCGGGGAAGTATCCTCCACACTTCTGAAGCTGGTCGCGCAGATTTCGAGCGCGGTTGATATACTGCGTCACCTTCTCTCCATTGATCATCTGTATATTTGACAGCTGCGTTAACATCTTACTCTGGTTGACAGTGTCCTTTGCCATGTAAACCCCTTGCAGGTATAACCAAGCTGCTTCAGCGGGAGCGGCACTGGTACGAGAAGGACGAATACCAAGCTATTCAGTCGGTGTCATATTGCGAACGAGAACTGTGTATGCAGTAAGCGACGCCGATCAAAAGGTGGCCTGTTGAAGTGGTGAGCCGTGAGATGGAAAGGGTGCTGTGCCGTCGAACAACTGCCAGAATCCCGCGGTCTGAACAAGAAGCTCGAATTCGAAACTCCAGGTATAGAAGTCTTGACCGTTAAATGGCATTGTCGTTTTAATCTTTGTTGGGTTTGCAGTAGCAGGAAGATAGTTTCCGGTGCCGTCAGCTGACTGTAACTGATAAAGTGATGGCATCTATGACCCTTGTGGTGCTTGTTGTCCTTGTCCAGCAGGAACAAAAGAGAAGGAGTTGTTCGACCCGTCGCTCCCTTGTGGCATCTGTCCATGCTGATAACTGGAGCCATCAAGACTCATAGGAGTTGGAAACATCTGGTTAAGTGACAAGACGGCAGCATTAACACGCTGTTGACGATTTGTTGGCTGGTAAGCACCTTGATATTGATATGGTCCAGTCGGTACGAAACTAGACTATTGTCCTGGTTGATTAGAAGAACCAGTTACTGCAGCTGCAGCTGTTGTGGCTGCTGATGCTGCTGTTGCTGCGGCTGCTGCCGCTGATGCCGCTTCTGCGGCTGTGTGTACGGACTGATTGCTCAGTGGCATGCCGTACATCGGTTGTTGTTGATATTGTTGTTGCTGATGTTGCTGCAGATGAGAATTGTCAGCAGTTGGAGACGCTGTTGGACGTGATGGGCTCGTAACAGAAGACCCGTTGTCGGACCGTGGAGAGCCAGACATAATTGCAGAGTATATAGTTGGAAGCTTGTAGAATCCTAAGACGCTCGCAATACCATGTTAGAATTTGAAATGATTGAGTAGGATCGTAATACTTAGGATGGTAGCTTCCTGTCGTAGCGGAAGTCTTGTATGAGTTAAAGCCAGTTATAGGAGGCTTTGTCTGGACTAATAAAAGCCCATGTAGTGATATGTTTCAGGATCTATGTCTCTGAAATCGGATATATAATAAAATGACAAGCATACAGAATATATAGCTATAGTAAAGTACCTGTTCGCCTACTGTACTGTATTATTTACGCTTTTCCTGTTCTGAAACGGTACGTGACTATTCGCGAGGCCTATAGCTACGTGCTGACGTCATCCTAGGGCGCATAGCGCTTTGCTGACGTCAGCCTATCGGTACTTTACTATTACGTGCGAAGTCTCGCACTGTACTAACTGTACTACACGAATTCCTTGAAGTGCTTAAGTCTCGATATTATCTCAACACGTTTCAATGGAATGGAATATACCGTAAGCCCTCGGATATAAGCGCAGGCCTCGGATAAGCGCCGGCGCTTATAAAAAGATGACGGCGCGGTCCTCGATTATAAGCCCACCCCTGAAGGCTTACGGATTATAAGCGCCACCCTCTGTTTGTTTTTGCGATAATTGTACTGAAATCGTTGTAATGAAACTCACATTGTCCATTCCCACATTATTGAATTTCGATGCCCTTCACCTCGCTCAGCTCATTGCCTGCGCGTCCAGTCAGAATGAGCTGTTGGCAGCGTAAGTTGACTCAATTGAATGTGTGTGTTGGCAGGGAATCATTCCCTGCCAACTGACGCGAGATTTTCAATTCCAGCCCTGTATAGTTTTGACTCGATTCAAATTGCAATAACGTGATCTACAATTTGGTGTAAGAAATATGCATTTCATAAATGCCATTATATAAGCGCCGGCGCTTATAAAAAGCCTCGATTATAAGCGCACCCCCTAGAAAACAGTGTTTTTTATACCCCTAGGGACGCTTCTATCCGGAGGCTTACGGTACTGGTTGTGTGAACTGCTGGCAGCCAGGTATAACAATCCTGGAACTGCACAAGGATTATGGATAGCTGGGCATTAATTTGTTTTTGAGCCCAGACGTGTGGGTGTGCAACTGAAATGCGCATTTTAAAACCATTGGTGATGGTGCAAGATGAAGGAATTGTATATGCATCTACCACAACGATTCGATTCGGGCCAATCCCAGATGGAAGGGGTGCCTGCCTGAGCCTGCCTGCCTGTCAGCAGCAACACGCTCCCTCCACACAATGAGCGAAGCGCGCCTCTGATTCATTGGTCACCCGCTGCCCGCGGGAACCAACGGTTGGTGTTCGGACAGTGATGCACCCTTGGGAGCACCAGATACTTTCGCAAGGTTTCGCATATTTCGCACAAAGCACATTGATTGGTGGACGATGACTGAAGGTTGTTCCTGACGAAAGCCGTTTAGCTCAGAAATATCCAACTCACCAAAGCATCTCCTTCCTCGCTTTTGGGAAGATCACCCTCGCGTGGAGCATGGTGTAGAGATGCTACTGTACTCGAGGATGACAGATCGGTGCAAATGGATCTAGGTAGGTTCCTGCCTGTTCCTCTAATCCCACCTGAGAAACCTTGAAATTGCCGCAGAAAACCCAGTGCGAGAAAAGCGGCAAGGCAAGCCCTCTGACTTCGAAAATGATTTGGCCTCGCAAGCTTCTTCGCAGTTTTTGGGTGATCAGGGACACATCCTTGGCTCAGTTTGGATTGGCCTTATGTTCTCGTCACGCATAAGTATCCCCTGGGTCGCTGGTTTCTTCCGAAGCACAATATAACCTCTTGATTCCGTACCTTGTTGCGTCTCTGTATGCCACAGCTTTTACTAGCCTCTGACTCCCTCTCCCACGTTCTCTTCATATATCTGTTGTACAGGCGCAATGTTAGTACTAATGAGAGAGCACAGAATATGATTCTAAACGAACGCAATTCTTTATAGCAACATCTGCCATTCACTTCAATTCCTGTGCCCTCGCTTGTTCCGAGAGATTCTCTTCAGTCCTTCCGTTTGCTCACTGAAGTCACATGTCCACGTGGCTCTCCCATCGACCGGAACAATTACAGCTGTTCTCTTCAACCTCGACGTGTGAGCGGATGCGCGACACGTGGCAAGGCATGGCTCCAGGGTGCCCGGACGACACGTGGCGCGATTACAGCGTTCCATTTGGAGACAATTCCACGTGCTCACAAGGATGGACGGACCTCCTTAGCATGCCTTGTCAGCCAAAAACCGCTCCTCGTCAGCAACTCGACCCGCCTCGTCATTTCCCTTCGTCGACTCGTCAATCAAACAGTCTTATTCTCCCTCGGCCTCCGTCATTCACGCAGCCGAAGCAGTGGCCAGTTTTTCCCGCGCTTTTGCCATCGCGGGTCGATAATTCCTCCGACTTCTTATGCTCGCTCGCTGCAGACGACGCTGTAGTAGCCACTCGTCGGCAGCTATCTAAGACCCCGCCGCTGCCGCCGTCGCTGCCGCCGCCGCTGCCGCTGCTGTCAACACTTCCAGTCAGTTCTTCGGAGGAGTCTCACCATCCGCGGCTTAATCCGCGAAATCCTCCGCGCAATCCGCTCAGTGCGCTTCCGCACGCCACCGTTTCTCCCCGCGGTCCCCGCCTCAGCAGCAGCGGTGGCAGTAGCAGCAGCAATGGCAGCGGCGGGGATAGCGGCGCAAGCGACGGCGGAGAAGGCAGCGGATTGCGCGGCAGGGAGGAGTACGACGTGGAAGAGGAGGAAGAGGATAGTAGCGCGCATCGGCGCGCAGCGTTAGACTTCGTGCTGGAGCTCGCCGGGCCGCAGATGGCGTCGCCGTCTGACGACCGTCGATTCCGATGGTGCCCTGATTCGCCGATCCCAGCCGACGAACTGCCTGTCGCCGCCTTCGCCGTGGATAGGTGAGTGATTATGGAAAGATGAGTTGCGGCTGGATCAATTACCAGCAGGTGAGGAGGTCAGGCAAAAAGGAATCTCACGTGAAGAGCCCGTCAGGAACTCTTATTCCACTCTTCCTTCCTTTCTTTCTTTCTTTCTGCCTTTCTTCCTAAACGCGTATTTTCCCCTACCTTACCCTGTGCCTCCTTGTGCCCCTCTCCCACCTCCCATCTCGCCCCTCCTCCGCAATCCCCACAGGGACCTCACGTTTGTGATGTGGAACCGACGAATGGCGAAGCTGACAGGCTGGAGCCGGGATGACGTAGCGCAGATGGGGAGGTTTCCGGGAAGGCTGCTGCGACCCGCGAAGGGATCTGCGCACGAGTGAGTGGGGAGGGGAAGGGGAGCCGGTAGAACGCGGAAGGGGGAAGTGGAAGGAAGGGGTCTGCACACAAGTGGGTGGGGAGAGGAAAGGGAGATGGTGGGTAAGGCGGAATGGGGGGAAAAGGGTGGGAGGGAGTTGAGCGCAGGGGTTGCAGCTTTGGTCAAATTGTTAAGCCGAGCCAGTTCGGCAAAACCTGAAGCCTTCCCCACTCCACAATCCTCTCACTCCCCCTCTCAATCCTCTCCCTCTATTCCCAGCTCCCCAGGCGTGCCAGCGACGTGCTGTGGGCAGCCATGCTGCGACCAGAGCCCCTCAACCAAACCATGTTGCTCGTTACTTTTAGTGAGTCGACTAAAAGCTAATTTTCCTTCTGTCTCTCGTCTCCACTCCCCCTCTCGCCCCCATTCCCCAGGCACGCCAGCGACGTGCTGCGGGCAGCCATGCTGCGACCAGAGCCCATCAACCAGACGATGCTGCTCGCCACCTCGTACTGAGTCGACCCAAATCTTACCCCTCGCTTCTCGCTTCCCCTCCATCTCTCTCCCTTTCTCCTTGTCCCCATTCCCCAGGCATGCCAGCGACGTGCTGCGAGACGCAATGCTGCGACCAGAGCCCATCAGCCAAACCATGCTGCTCGCCACGCGCACCCCACGCGACGCAGAGTGCAATGCCGAGTACGACGCAGAATGCGACGCACAACAGCAGGTGCTTCCGGGGCAAGAGCAGGCGCTGCTGAGGAAGGTGTTACCTGGCGAGGCGGCAACTGGGCAGGGTATATCCGAGCACTCGTCGCCTGAGCGGGAGCTGCGTGTGCAGGTGCACGCGTGCATGCGCACAGACGCTGTGGGGGCCGCCAATGGTGTGCTCTGCGTCCTCATGCCGCTCCACACGCCCCCTCCCATCCCCACGCTCATGCCCACGACCATGCCCATGCCCTCATATGTGCCCATGGGACCTGTTCTTGTCGCCCCAGCTGCTGCTGTCGTTCCTCCTCGACCATCTGCCTCTGCTGCTGCTGCTGCCGTCGCTGCTGCTACAGCCGTCGCTGCTAAGGAGACTGTTGCCCCCGACGTTGCCCCTCATGCCGCTGCTGCTGGCCCGACTCGAGCTGATGGGAAGCAGAGAGTTGCGTCGAGTGCAGCGAAGCAGCGGATAAACGGGGAGGGTGGAGGAGAAGGAGGAGAGAGGGAGGCAGGAGTTAGCAGGCAAAACGAGGAGATTACACGAGAGGGCCACAGCAATATTTTCAGTCGCTGCAGTGGCAGCAGCAGCGGGGGGCTGGATGGGAGGGGTGCGGTCGGAAGGGAGGAGAGGGTGGGTGAGAAGAGGCGTGGCAGCAGACGCAGCAGCAGGGAGGAGGGAAAAATTCCTTATTGTCACTCCCCTGTCTCTCCTCGCTGTCTCTCCCCGGTCTGTCTCTCCCCTTTCAGTCACTCCCGACCGTGCGATCTTATCACCTCGCCCGGATCCGACGGTGGTTATGGAGTCAAGAGGGTTGAGCGAGAGTGGGCAATGCAAGAAGAAGCGGAAAGAGAGGGGAACAGGGAGAGAACGAGAGTGAGAGTGAGAGTGAGTGTATGTGAGATGGAGATGAGAGATGGAATGGCATCACCAGCATCATCACCAGTACCAGCATCACCAGCAGCATCACCAGAATCATCAGAATCGCCAGGCGAAATTCCCGAGGGTGTGAGGGGACCTCCAGAGCTGCACACGCCCAGGGAGATTCTCCCCTCGCGGGAGGTCCTCGAGAGCAGCGGCGTGGGAACAACACGCAGGTTCCTCCCCTCCGGTGCCTCCCACACCATCTCAACTCATGCCGTCTCAACTCACAGTGGCTCATCTCATGCCGTCTCATCTCACACTGTCACACGCAACCCGTGTGCTCCATTGTCTAGCCCCGCACGAGCCCCTGTGAAAACACCCGCTGCATCCTCGTCCATTCCTCTTGCACCTGAGTCCTCCTCGCTCGCCCACTCACCTGAGCGCGCCCCCCTTGCACCTGCTGCTGTCAACCCCACGAGCGTCAGAAATGTGCCTGTGCATCCCGTTTCCATTCCACCAGTACCTTGCGAGATGAAACCCCTGGCTCTGGACATGAAACGCTCGCCCAGGTTGCAGTTTGACGAGAGTGAGTATGAGAAACGCCAGTTTCAAGAGCTGGAGGCGGAACGGTTTCATCTGCTGCGTACGTCGCCCTGCTTCGGCTCCCAGTCTCCCTTGTCTAGCGTACCCTTGTTTACGAGCACTGCTCCTGGTTCTCCACCTGCTGCTGCTGCTCCTGCTGCCGTTGCTGTTGCTGCTTCTGCTCCTGCGCCTGCTTCTGCAGAACATGCTCCTGCTGCCCCTGCAGCAGCAGCTGCAGCAGCCATCCAGCCTGCAACAGTGAGTCAGTGCGGGGCAGTGAGGCACGGTGCAGCAGGTCTGCCCGCCATTCGGGTGCAGCGGCGGCGAGCAGCTGATGTGCTGCGCCCTGCTGGTCACGAGGGCGGCAGGTGCAGCAGCAGGGGTGGCAATAGGTCATTAGGATCCGAAAGGAGTGCACAACGAGAGGAAGGGAGAGCAGAGGGGAAGGGAGCAGGTAATCCTCTCTTTGAAGGAACCAACCCGTTGCTGGCCCCTGTGCAACTGCTGTCGCCTCTGACTCACTCCCCGTACCCCCTTCTCTCTCCCAAGTGGGAACCGGACGCAGTTCTACTGCACTCATGTGCTGCCCTGCCTCCCTCGGCCAATTCGGGATTGCCTTTAACAGCTTGTGGGGATGATGAAAGGGCTACTGGTGCGGCTACAACAGCGCCTGCAACCGCGACTGCAAAAGGGTTGGAAGTAACAGAGACAGCAACAGTAGGAGCAGCAGCAGAAGGAGCCGAAGGTGCACCAGCAGGAATAGCACCAATGGCAGCAGCAGCAGCAGCAGCAGCAGCAGCAGCAGCTGGCGGCACTGGTACGGCCAGAGGCATGCTGGCGGGTGGGAAGCGAGTGCAGGCCTGCAGCATGCTTGCAGCAGACAGAGTAGCAACCGGAACGACAGCCTTCTTTTCTGCTGACGTACCTTCATCTGCTGTCATTCCCTCATCAGCCGTTTTCCCAGCTATCACCTCCTCCTCCTATGCCCCTTCTTTTGACACCCCCTCTTTGCCTCCGTCCACGTCTCTGTGTGTGCGTGCTCTAGTGGCTGACGGGGCGACAGGTGGCGGCGCGGGATTGGGGCTGGTGGGCGCGCTGCACAATGACTTGCCGCAGCAGCTGGAGCGGTGTGGCTTCGATGTTGTCACAGCTGCTACAGTCACAGAAGCTGTGGAACAATTCAATCAGTCTGTGCGCGAGTTGTCACCCAGTGGGAGGGTGCAACAGGGCAATGGGTTTGAGGAGAGCAATGGGAGTGCAGGAAGCAAGCAGCAGGGCGACACGGGCAAGAAACGGGTGGATGTTGGTGTGCAGCGGCCCCTGGAGGCTTCCAGAGACGAGTCGTCCGTGACTAACCAGAGACCTGCATTAGGAGACGACCAGGGACAGGGTGTTGCACCACCAATTGACAGGGCTATGGCAGCGGATGAGGAAGCGCGGGAGGTTGGAGGGACGCCAGAGGCACCCTTCTCCCTCGTAGTCATGGAATTAGAGGTGAGCCTTGTTGTAGGTTGTCCGTATGTGGGTGGCTTGCGGCTTGAGTCTTTGCCATGCGTATCGCACACCTGATGGATCAGTTCTTCTGGTGCTTTAAGAATAGAACTTTCACGTACTTCATGTTTCTAAGAATTCCAACAAACCCTCTGGGTTTTCCTTGTGCTGGTGTACAGGCCATGGCGCATGATGGCTTCGCATGCATCCGCAGCATTCGTGATGCCGAGGGGAGAAGGCAAGGAGGGAAGGCCAGGAATGGGGAACACTGTGCTGTGGCTCATGCTCATGCTCATGCTCATGCTCATGCTCATGCTCATGCTGATGCTGATGCTGATGCTGATGGTAACCAGTTTCCAGGGGTTGATGCTGCTGAGCCAGCTGGTGGTTGTTTGAGTGGTGCTGAGGCGAACACAGAACAATCATCATCAGCAGCACCAGCAGGAGCAGGCACCAGCCCAATAGAAGCTGCAGTATTTGGAGGGGCAGCTAGAGTGCTTGCTTCTGATTCACTACAGGACGACTCAGGGAATGTGTACGCTGTCCCTCGCACGGTTGTTATAGCGGTGGCGAATATGAACAGGTGGGATCTGGCGGGTTTGGACCAAGCCATGCAGCAGTGCATGCATGCGGGCGTGGATGCAGTGGTTCCTCGCACAATGAACCTCCAGCAGTTGAAGTCGGTGCTCAGAAAGCTGGGCGTGAAAGGTAAGTATGTGTTGGTGCCAAATTCTCTGCCTCGTGCCATGTCTGGCACTGTGCATAATCCCCTTAATTTGTCTAGGTAGTGTAATGTGCAAAAGAATGAATGTGCACAACTATATATCTGTAAGGCTGAATCTGATTGGTATAATGGATCTTTGTAACGACAGGAGAAAATGCAGGTTTTTGATCCAGTTGCTTGTTGGCAGTTTGTTCAAACACTTTGACGGCCGTCGCTGCGCGCCACACGTGTCCTCTGGCGAGGCGACGCATCTGTTCCACCTTTGACGACAGGCGTGAAACTGGAACTGTGGGCTGTCTGTCAGGGTTTGTCCCTGATAAAAGCGCTCGCTGTAATATCGAATGTATTCTACGTGCAGTACAGAGTAACGTGTGGGTGGGAGTGAATTGCCTATGGCTGTCATAAACATATCATCGAGTTTTCAAGATAACCACACTGCAGTTCTTAGTTGTTGCAAAAGCTTGCTCGACCAAAACCGAAGTCCCAAGTGCCATACTTTTGTTTTGTTGAGGGTTCGTTTGATGCGGTTTATGACGGTCACACAACGTTCAAGAGCGGTTTCAAAATCTCACCGCTTTCGACCATGGCGCACCACGAACGAATACGACTCGACCTAAACAGGAGCACAGCCCCAGCCAGACCATGGCAGAATTCGCGTTTCCTGCGCTGTCAAGCTAACTGCCAGTGCAAGCCAAAAAGCTAGGAGGTTCTGTCGCGAGAGGAATTGCCGATCTGGTATAAAAGCCTAGCCAAAGGAATCCTCTTCCCGTTTCGTTTTCCAGTGCAGTGAGGTTTCAGTCCGTTTTGTCGAACTCGTTACTCGTCACCCCGAGTCCGCATTTCGCGTATCATTATAATCTTTTGAAGTTGGCGAATCATACAATCTGCGTTCCTCGACGGCTGTACTCAACCAATTAAGACCATTCTGACTTATTATAGGACCCATCACCCTTAGGTTAGAAAATGACAGTCTCCGTGTTCTCGTTACAACGCACAAGAATGCCTCAATAGCTTGTGTTACATGGGTAACCAGGTGAGTGTGATCGACGCGTTAGTAAACGCGGAGTTTCCACCCATCAACGACACTGGTTATAATAACCTAGTAACGAAAGCAGCAGTAGCGGGGATTACCAACTCCAAAAGCAGCAGCAGCGTCAGCACCCTATCCGGTACCAGCACTAGCAGCAGCGGCAGCAGCAGCAGCAGCAATGGCGGTTGTAGCAGCAACGCTACGGGCACCAGCACGGGCACCAGCAATGGCACTGACATTGGTGGCGTATGCAGCTGCAGCGTCACCAGCACCGCCGAAAGCGGCGGGGGTAGCGGCGGCAATGGCGGAGGCGGACTGAGGAGCATCGCGTGCAGCGATCTCAGCCGTCCGATGGGCATCTTGGCGTTTGAGGTGGCGGGGCTGATGCACCGGGTCCTGGATCTCTGGAGCCAATTGGAGCCCGGACACGTGGCAGAGCTGAGGCAGCAGCTGCAGGTGCGGAGTGGCGGATGGAGCTCGAGGCGTCTTTTTACAACAATTGGAAAGCCACGGATGATTTCTGCTCCTGAGGAGCGTTTGAACCGGACCTGAGAGGAATGCTTGTCAACAACAAGCTACTTTTGCGGAACCGCTTATATCTCAGTAAACTTATCCGTGCGTGTGTGTGCGCGTGTGCTGTGTCCACCTGTGCGCGTGTGCTGTGTCCACCTGTGCGCGTGTGCTGTGTCCACCTGTGCGCGTGTGCTGTGTCCACCTGTGCGCGTGTGCTGTGTCCACCTGTGCGCGTGTGATGTGTCCCGTGGTGTGCATGCATGGTGGGGGCAGAGTGAGAACCTGGAGCGACTGGGAGTGGGGGATTTCACCTTCCGGTGGCGCATGGCAGGTGAGACAAGTCAAGAAGGGGTTGGGAGCTTTGCTTATGGTTAACAAGGGGTCTGGTCAGCAGTCAAACGCGGTGGCCTTTTTTCAGCAGTCAGAAATGGGTTGGATTGGGTTTACCAAACGTTTTGTTGGGTTAGAAGCTGAACCCCTCGCTTGCAACTTTTAAGAGCCATTCAAAGTAACTAACTCCTTCCTGCCTACAATTCTCCCCACTCTAGTTCGAGCCATGCCCACCATCCCCACCCACCCACCCCCACCCACCCATTCCCACCGATCTCCACCTCCCAGGCCTAGAGTATTACAACGAGCTGCTACTGCTGACAGCTGGCGTGGCAGCAATGGCTCGGCAAAGTGGGGGGGCGGTGGGGGGGCAGGTGCAGCAGGTGCTGAGAGCGCATGCGAGGAGGAAGGAGAAGAGGGAGAAGGCCGTGGGGAAGGCAGAGGCGGATGAAGTTATGAGGTGAGGAGGGGGGGAGAAGGGGGGGGAGGGGAGGAAAGGGGAGCAGGGGGATGTAAAAGGGGAGAAGGCGGGGTAAAGGAGAAAGTGAGTGTTGGGGGGGAGAGTTAGACTGGGATGGGGGGCCAAGGCAGCAGCTGCAGCACGTGCTGAGGGCACATGCGCGAAGGAGGGAGGAGAGAGAGAAGGCCGTGGGGAAGGCAGAGGCGGATGAAGTGATGAGGCGATGGCGAAAGGGTGGGGAGGAGTGGGGGGTTGCAGAGGGAAGCTTAAAGGCGGAACCACAGGGTACAAGGGCGAACTTATGTTTTTGCTCATAGTTTCCAACTTGTTAACGTGCATGTGTATGTGTGCATGTGTATGTGTGCATGTGTGTGTGTGTATGCATTTGTGTGTGTGCACTTGTGTGTGTGCATGTGTGTGTGTACATGCATGTGTGTGTGTACGTGCATGTGTGTGTGTACATGCATGTGTGTGTGTACGTGCATGTGTGTGTGTACATGCATGTGTGTGTGTACGTGCATGTGTGTGTGTACATGCATGTGTGTGTGTACGTGCATGTGTGTGTGTACATGCATGTGTGTGTGTACGTGCATGTGTGTGTGTACATGCATGTGTGTGTGTACGTGCATGTGTGTGTGTACATGCATGTGTGTGTGTACGTGCATGTGTGTGTGTGTGCATGTGTGCCCGATGCTGTGCATGTGCATATCCAGGTTCCTGCGAGACCATCTGGGGCCAACGGGCATTCTGAAGCGAGAGATGGAGGCACTTGATGAAGCTGTTGCCAGGTGGGTGGGCATGCAGCAATTGCCAGGTGGGGGTGAACCGTGAAAGCATGACGAGCCGAGGTGAAGGGGCAAGTGGAGCACAGGTGGGGGCGTCACATTGCACCAACGGGCATTCTGAAGCGAGAGATGGAAGCACTGGATGAAGCTATTGCCAGGTGAGTTTGAAGGTGTGGCAAGGTGAGGTGAAGGGATTGAGAGGGGTTATGGAAGGTCGAGTCCTCTCAGAGGGCCCACGGGCATTCTGAAGCGAGAAATGGAAGCACTGGATGAGGCCATCGCCAGGTGGGTGGGTGGGGATCGGCATAGCGAGTAAGGGTGCTTTTCTTTTGTGGGTCCAGGTGCTTGCTTGCTTGCTTGCCTGCTTGCTTGCACATGTGAGTTACCCTGCGGCTGGTAACCCAAAACTACACTTGCCTTCCTTCCTCCTTCCATCACCCGCTACCTGCCCTTCGTTCGCGCCTTCATGCTGCACCACTCCACACCCCCTGAAACCCCTTTGTTTCCTCGCGCTAACCCGCCAAAAGCTTCCTTAACAACAAACCCCTCACTACCCCCTCACCCCCCCTCCTTACACCCCTGCACACCCCCCCACTGAGCTCATCTGCTGCTTACCCCTTCGTGCCCTAACTTCCTCCCCACCCCCCCACTTCCCCCCCCCTCTCGTCCCCCTTTTCCACCCCTTTCCCTCCCTTTTCCCCTCTTTTCCCACTTCCCCTCTACCCTTTTCCCCCCCTTTTCCCCCCTCTCCGTTTCCTTGCCTCCCCATCAGCACGTCATCTGACGGCGATGCATACACGTTTGAGGACAAGCAGCCCACACAGACTTATCCCGATGACTGCTGTCCTTGTCTTGTCTTGTCCCCCGGACCCCCCTCTCCGTTTCCCCATCAGCACGTCATCTGACGGCGATGCATACTCGTTTGAGGACAAGCAGCCCACGCAGTCGTACCCTGAGGAGTACTTTGTCACCCAGGCAAGCGCGTGATGGCCTTGGGCAGGTTTTAAGCTGCATAACACATTTTTTTAGTCGGCCCAAAACACACCCACACAGTCGTACCCCGAGGAGTACTTTGTCACCCAGGCAAGATTGTGTGGCATTGAATGGCATTGAATGGCACTGGTGGCATTGGATGGCATTGGATGGCCTTGAATGGCATTGAATGGCACTGCATGGCATTGGATGGCACTGGATGGCATTGGATGGCACTGGATGGCATTGGATGGCACTGGATGGCATTGGGCGGTGGATGGCATTGGGTGCATTAGATTAGAATCAGATGGCCTTGCGTGGTGTTGGGTGACATTGGATGGCGTTGATTGGCATTGGTTGGTGCACAACAGGACACATCATGCTGTGCATCCAATATTGCCGCCCACCCACCCATGTGCACCCACGCCCACCCATGCGCACCCATGCCCACCCACGCCCAACCATGCCCACCCACGCCCAACCATGCCCACCCACACCCAACCATGCCCACCCACACCCAACCATGCCCACCCACGCCCAACCATGCCCACCCACACCCAACCATGCCCACCCACGCCCAACCATGCCCACCCACACCCAACCATGCCCACCCACGCCCAACCATGCCCACCCACACCCAACCATGCCCACCCACACCCAACCATGCCCACCCACACCCAACCATGCCCACCCATGCACAATCATGTACACCCATGCACAATCATGTACACCCATGCACAATCATGTACACCCATGCACCATCATGTACACCCATGCACAATCATGTACACCCATGCACAATCATGTACACCCATGCACAATCATGTACACCCATGCACAATCATGTACACCCATGCACAATCATGTACACCCATGCACCATCATGTACACCCATGCACCATCATGTACACCCATGCACCATCATGTACACCCATGCACCATCATGTACACCCATGCACCATCATGTACACCCATGCACCATCATGTACACCCATGCACCATCATGTACACCCATGCACCATCATGTGCACCCATGCACAATCATGTGCACCTATGTGCAATCATCTCCACCCATGTGCACCCATGCAGGGGCAGAAGGTGCAGCAGCTGCAGCGGAGCTCCCTGTGGTCGCACAGCCTTGAGAGAATGGCCAAGGTGGGTGAATCTGCTCCTCCCCCTGATTCTTCTGCCCTGCTCCCTCCCACTTTCTCCTCTGCTTCCTCTGCGTCTGCTGCTCCCGCCGCTCCCTCCCGCTGCCCCCTCTGTCTGGGATGTTCCTAATCCATCCCTTCTCGGGTGCTTCTTCAGCTGGCGCTTCATTTTGGATTGGATTGCTTGCTTGAAAACACTTAAAACTCCAATTCAATAACGGAAGCTCTCTAGACCACTTCATTGTATTTGTACATGGTTGCTTGCTTCATGGTTGCTCTGTACATGGTTGCTTGCTTCATGGTTGCTTTGTTGGAAGATTACGCTTTGTTGGAAGATCTATCCTTTTCATCACTCCATCCAACCTTCATTTCTGTCCGACCCAATTCCGCTCGCGTTTCAACAGACCCTGGCGGTGGCGGTCGGCATTCTTTGGCAGCATCTGAGGGAGGTGTATGGGTGGCCGGATCCCATAGGGCCAGACGACCTGGAGGGCACGGTGGGGCAGGCGGGACTGCCCATGCTGTACGCGCGCGTGCTGGCTGCTGTCAGTCAATTAGCTGTCACCATGCCCGGGACACCTGCCTTCACCGACAAGAGGTGAGAGCAGAAACCCCTCTTGTTACACCTTCTCGTTCCTTCTGGTGACCGGGAGGGCACGGTGGGGCAGGCGGGGCTGCCCATGCTGTACGCGCGCGTGCTGGCTGCTGTCAGTCAATTAGCTGTCACCATGCCCGGGACACCTGCCTTCACCGACAAGAGGTGAGAGCAGAAACCCCTCTTGTTACACCTTCTCGTTCCTTCTGGTGACCGGGAGGGCACGGTGGGGCAGGCGGGGCTGCCCATGCTGCACGCGCGCGTGCTGGCGGCTGTTTGTTAGAATTGTATGTTCTAGCAGCTAACACTTGTGACTGTACACCAATTGTGGTGTACAGTTGGGTTGGGACTACACCCAACTTTGGGTGTAGTCTTGCATTGTGGGGTGCCAATCCAACCCAATCGTGGTGGGGCCCCCAAATGCAACCCACTTGACCTTAGGTTGCCTCACTTCCCAAAGTGAGGCCAACCCAACCTATGGTCAACCCAACCTTTCTCCTTCAACCTTCTCTTCCTTGTATAACCTTGTGCTCTCTTGAGCTAATGTCAATCATTCTTCCTCAAGTTTCTACAGCTCCTGGTTTCTTTCACTGTTACCATGCCCGGTACACCTGCTTTTACGGACAAGAGGTGAGTGAGAGGGTAATGCCAATCTTTAGTGGTTACTATATCCCCTTCGGACGACCTGGACAGCACGGTGGGGCAGGCGGGGCTGCCCATGCTGTACGCGCGTGTGCTGCTGGCTGCTGTCAGTCACCCAGCTGTCACCATGCCTGGCACTCCTGCTTTCACAGACCAGAGATGAGCCGGTAGCATGGGTCTTTGAATTTCCTCTACTATCCCCCTCTGGTGACCTGGAAGGCACGGTGGGGCAGGCAGGGCTGCCGATGCTGTCTTAGCTGCTGTCAGCCAAGTGGCTGTCATGTCACCATGCCAGGCAGGCACACCCGCGTTCACCTACAAGAGGTGAGCGAAAAGGCAGTATTTGGATCCCATATAATCCCCTTGGGTGACCTGTTTTTGAGTCGACTCAAAAAGAGGATCCCATATCGTCCCCTTGGGTGACCTGGCTGGAGGGCATGGTGGGGCAGGGGGGGCTGCCCATCCTCTATGCACGTGTGCTGGCGGCTGCCACCATGCCCGGCACACCTAGTTCCGCAAACAAGTGGTTCGATCTCCAAGAAGCACTCTTCAGGTCGTCTCTTCCCGTCCACCTCCCATGCTCCGCTCCGCCCTCTCTCCCTTCCCCCAAACAAACACCCAGGAAGGGACCTCTATCTCATGCTCCCCACGTTCATTCGCCATCAGCTGCACTCCCGCCTGCGTGTCTCCCTGCGCCGCCCGCTAGTCTAGACAAGGTGCTGTTTGGGGAGCTTTCATCCTCGTCAACCCTCTTCTCTCCCCCCCATTATACATCTCCTCGCAGAAAGGACCTCTATCTCATGCTCCCCACCTTCATTCGCCACCAGCTGCACTCCCGCCTGCGCGTCTCCCGGCGGCGTCCCCTGGACGAGGTGTTGCTGGGGGAGCTGCGCCAGCTGGCAGCGCAGATGTTCTGCTGGCTCATGCCCTTCAGCCAGGCCACGCTGCAGTGGGTCAATGACAGGTCTCACAGCGCCAGGGTGGCGGGGCGGCAGAGAGTGCTTCTGGTGCAGGTGGGTGTGAGGGTGGGGGGAAGTGGGGGGGGATGGGAGCGCACAGTAGGGCAGCTGGCAGCGCAGATGGTCTGCTGGCCCATGCGCATCTCCTAGACCACGCTGCAGTGGGTCAATGATCGCTCTCACAGCACCAGGGTGGCGGGGCGACAGCGCGTGCTGCTCGTGCAGGTGGGTGTGGGTGTGGGCGTGGGAGGGGCATGGGATGGGCGTGGGAGGGGTCTGGAGACCCACAGTGAGGCAGCTGGCAGCGCAGATGTTCTGCTGGCTCATGCCCTTCTCTCGTTCCTCCTCTCTTCTCATCTCTGTTTCTTCCCCTCCACTCCAACCCCTTGCCCTGCTACTGCAGACCCTCCATTTCTCCAGCGAGGATCGTTTTGGAGGCCATTCTTATCGAGCTCCTCTCCTCTCCGCTCCTCCCCTTCCTCTTCTCTTTTCTCCTCTCCTCTCATCTCTCTCTTTCTTCCCCCACACTGCCCCTCTCCATCCACTACAGACCCTCCATTTTGCCAACAAGGATCGGTTCGAGGCCATTCTAATCGAGCTCCTCTCCTCGCTCTCTCTCGTCATCGCAGCATCCACACCCCCTCCTCCTCCCCCTCCCATCCGCGCCCGCCCCTCCAAGCCTCCCTCCCTCGGCCGAGCCTCCAGCACCTCGCAGGCCCCTTCCCGAGCCAAGGCATTTGGTTTGGGATCGACAGCTTCGTACTCCAGCCGTCGCCGTAGCTCCCCTGCTCCTGTATCGTCCGGCTCTCCCCTCGATAACTTCGACCCGGAAGCAGCACTGGCAGAGGGAGCAGCAGAAGCAGCAGCGGCAGCGGCGGCAGCAGCAGCAGGAGAAGGAGGAAGGTCCATGCCCTCTCGCATCGCAATGCCTCGTGCTGCCTCCGTTGCTGAAGTGCTTGACGCTCCCACTTCCTCCATCTCCCCTCCTCCCTCCGCTGCTACCCTTGCTGCTGCATCATCTGACTCCTCTCACGTGACAGCAGCAGCAGCAGTCAGCACATCAGCAACAGGGCAGCAGAAGAAGCATATGACTGCTTCTCTTGCTGCTGCTTCCGCTGCTACTCCCGCTGCTCCCTCTGCTGCCGCTGCTGCTGCAGGCAGTCCAGGTGACGACCACGCTGCCTTCCTGTCAGCCCTCCCGCGTCGCAGGCAAACCCACGCCGACATTGCCGCAGCTGCCATTGCAGCCGTCGACGCTGCAGCTGCTGGATCAGCTGGTGCCTCCTCCACTCCGCCCAAGCCCACAGCAGCAGGCAAGCCCCCCGCGCGCAGGCGGGGGCGGCACTCGCGCTCTCTCTCCATGTCCGATATCATGCCTGCTCCCTCTTCCCTCGCATGGCTTGTCGATGACTCTGCAGCTGCTGGCAACGGTGCAGCAGGAGGAGCAGGAGCAGGAGGGAGGGGGATGGGAGGAGGGGCGGACAGTCTGCCCAAGTTCCTGGAGGAGCTGGCGCAGCATGGGTTTGTGGTGTCGGCGTTTGACCGCAGCGAAGGCCGTGTGCTGCACCAAGCAGCGCCGCTCTCCACCGCTCTCGCCGCTCCCGCACACCCCTCCTCCTCGCTCTTCCACAACCCTCCTGGCCGTTTGTTCGCTCCGGAATCGGCTATAGATGGGCAGAGTAGAGGCAGCGGACGGGAGGGTGGAGGGAAGGAGGGTAGGAATGACAAGGACATGTCGCCTCTTGACCGGCTGTTGGCTCGCATGCCGCCGCCCCGGCGGTTACAAAGATCAACCACCCCGCCTGGTAACCGCATCGAAAGAGCCATGTCACCAAAGCCGGATAGGCGCCGGGAGAGGGGGGGTGATGTGGCTGTCAAGGAGGGAACTGTGGCGAATGGGACTGGTGTGGATGGTGTAGGGAGTGGCAGGAGTGGCAGCAGCAGGTTTAGCACCAGCAGCAGTGTTGCTATGGAGAGTGGTAGTCGTGGTAATAGCAGTGGTGGTGGTGGGATTTGTGGGAGTGCCAAGGAGGGTGCAGGGGGGGTGTGCGACAGGAGTGGCAGTGAGTATGGCACTGGGAATGGGGTTGCGAGTGAAGATACCCTTAATGGGAAAAAAGGGGGTGAGTCAACTCAGTCGTGTGAGTCAACTCCAAAAAACGACAAGTTTGACAACCCACTGCCCCCACAGGATGCCTTGGCTGTCGGCTGAGGTGTTGTGAGTGGCTGTAAGCTGTGAAGGCTACAGTAGTGTGGATATAGTGAACCGTGAAGTGTTGTACAGTTTCACGATTGCTTCTGATAAGTTATTTGTTGAGTTTAACTAACTTTAACTTTGGATGAGCCAGGACTTGGTTGGGTCCTGTAAATTGGCCTCCTACTGTATGCTTAGGTAGTGTGCTTCAGTGTGCGTGTGCAACTGACCATACATACCGATATGAAATTGCATACTACTTTGTGAAGCAATTGGTAGCTGGTGAGGTCAGTTCTGTTGGGCTGAAAAAGTCTTAAGGATCGTTTCAAGACTAAACTCTCAGAGTGGTGATGTATTTAGCAGAAACGTAATACTGGATTAATTGAACCACCTTGTACTAGTATGTGAGAACAAGATGAATTGATTATAGCAAAGAGATACAAGGTTTTATATGATTACAAGGAATACGAAGGCTTTAATTGTAACTGCTGTTGCGGTTCGATACAGCGACGACTCGGGTAACTGCTCAATAGCGAGTCAGTTATTTGTCCTTGCTGTCGCGCTGCCTTTGTCAACTCAAAGGTCGCTGACCAGGGCCCGTGCTAGGTTTTGGGCAGGGCTGACTTTATCAGACTAAAATAGTCTGATTGTCTGAAATCTCAGGGTATTTTCCTACGGATCCTGATTTTTCAGACTTGTAAGATTTTCAAACATGAGTGCCTCAGACTTACTTGGTTTTGGATCCTGATATTTTCAGAGTACTGACTTAGCCGATAATGGGTCTTCATACTACAGGGAGTACGGATCCTGAAATGCGGATCTGTGATTTCTACGTACATTCCGCTACGTCATATGTTGCCAGTGTACGAACACACTTCATGGCGCTGTCACGCGCAGAATCTGTCCTTGGCAACTTTTGCCACCCTTTTCCCTTAGAAATCTGCCAACTTGGCTCACTCTTCCACTCACGCGGGACCATCACTGCAGCTACGCGGTGTCAGCGAGGGAAACTGGTTAGCGTTGCGCCCCACGTGCTACATTTGTGGCAGTACTGTACTGCAGTGGTTGTAGTGTGTTCTGAGTACTTCAGACTTGTGTTTTTGCGGAACCTGAAAAATCAGAGTGACCATTCTCTGGGAAATATGCCTCAGACTAAAAATTTTCAGAGCCCCCAGAACATCAGACTGGATTTTTTTGAATAGTCAGCCCTGGTTTTGGGGCATCCTGAGGCCTCGGGGCAAGTTTCCAAAATCTTCAAAAATGCCCTGATTTGTCAAGGCAAATATTCAAAGGCTTCCTATAGTTTCAGGGCTTCTGCAGAAATTAATCCTGACCTGTCAAGGCTAAAAAACGAGTGTTCACGGTTCTGTTTTTAGCACTTCTAGTGGGACCACCATTGTACTACTCCCTACTAACTAGTGTATGCATGGCACACGACAAGACATGAGTGTTGCCTTTGTCAGAATCCCAACCACTAGACCATTGGGATAAAAGGGCTTGCTAAGTAGCGGGTCAGTGCGCCCATAACCCCCCAGGACAACGAGCATGTAACCCTTCCCTAGGATCAATCGGGGATCACCAGTGGACCTCTGACACCCCCCCGCACTGGGATGCCCGAAGTGCACACAGTGGGATTCGAACCCGAGACCTTCGCTCTGATACCATGTCAGAATCCCAACCACTAGACCATTGGGATAAAATGGCTTGTTAAGTAGCGGGTCAGTGCGCCCATAACCCCCCAGGACAACGAGCCTGTAACCCTTCCCTAGGATCAATCGGGGATCACCAGTGGACCTCTGACAGCCTTGCCCAACCCGTTTTCCCAATCTAATGGGTTTGGCCGGTGCGTTGCGGAGGATCGGAACTGTCAAAGGAATCATGCAAGGGCGGGAAAATTACACGGGGAAACCAATCCGCGGGAGAAAACCTCCCAGGAAAAAAATTCCTCGGGAACATGAAACCTCTCCCCCGCCAATACCCCCCCCCCCCCCCCCCCCCCCCCCCCCCCTCACGCCCCTCAAGAAACGCGTCAGGGCAAGCCTCGACATTCATCCTGACGCTACAGAGAAGAACACAACGGCCATCTTGAATTTCTAGGGCATTTCATATAACACCATCCTGATACCACAGGGTGAAAAGTGAGACTATTTTGAAATTACAGGGCAAATTCAAATATGCATCCTGAAATCAGGGTAATCAGGATGTTTTGCCTTGATATCATGGGGCCTTTCTGTTAGAAACCAAAGGAAGTTAGAAATGAGAAAGAGAGGTTTCACTAGCAAGCAGTTGAGTACATATAGCAAACCCTAAATTGGGCTGTACTCACTATTGAGTACCCCACTGCAGGCTAGACAAAACATAACATTCTGACACTTTCGCTGACCTTTGACCTTCGCTTCAACCTCCTGATGTTGTCGCCTTGTCAACCGCTTTGGTTGACTCGGTGTTGCTTCGCTGTGAGTATGCTTCTCTTTTGTTATAGTGTTCGATACTTCAGAAGCGTTAACTAAATGTTTCCAACACTCCCCTTCGCTTCTGGAGTGTCATCGCCTTCGTTGCTGGTGACGTGGCCATGTCCAGTCAGCAGCATGCAGTACTCGAACTTCTGCTTTCCAAGTTTCTTGGTCAGGTAATCTGCTGCCATCTCGGACGTGGGGCAGTAGGATAGCTCGAGTCTCCCTTTCTCGATCTCGTCCTTCACGAAGAAGTAGCGTAGGGCAATGTGCTTCGTTCGGTTCGCGAACCCGCTCTTGTTCGCTATGCGAATTGCAGATTGGTTGTCGCAGAAGAGGGAGAAGCTGGTTAACTGAGCCAGCTTTGCTTCTTCCAGTAGTTCGCGAAGGTACAGTCCTTCCTTGGTGGCTGAGCAGAGTGCTATGTATTCGGCTTCAGCAGAGGAGAGTGCAAATAGTTCTTGTTTGCTCGACTGCCACGAGATAGGTCCGACGGGCTCAAGTCGATAGATGTAGCCGGTGCGCGATTGCTTGTTGTCAGAGTCGCCTGCGTGGTCAGCGTCCACATAGCCGATTAGCTTCGGAATAGTGGATCCGGTCTTGTGGTAGGTTAGGCCGATTGTAGGTGTGCTGACGAGATAGTGTAATGCGCGATCGAGTTCTGCCATATATTCTGCTTCGAGCCGTTTGAGATAGGTGGCAAGCTGGCTCGCTAAGTACGACAGGTCCGGTCGGCAGGTAACAGCTCCGAAGAGTAAACATCCAAGTTTTTTCTGGTAGTCGCGTATTCCGGCAGGTCCGAGCGGATAAGACTTTTCCTGGTGATTTCCGCCGGTGTAGCGGTAGGGCGTGGATATGACGGCTAGCGATAATCCGAAGCGTTTGGCGATTGTGTCGGCGTATTTTGCGGCGTTGAGGTAGATCGCGTTTTTTTCCGTCGAGTATGTTGAGTCCCAGGTACTGAGTTACGGTGGAAGAGACCGTGAGTGAGAGATCCCGTTGTAGCTCCCCTTCGAACCAGGTGGTGATGTCGTCGGTAGAGCCTGTGTAGAGCAAGTCATCTACGTATATAATCAGTAGGATGTATTCGGCTTCCTTCGTGAGTCTGTACATGCCCTGGTCGTGTGGTAGTTGCTGAAAGCCGATGCGGATTAATCGGGCGTGTAGGTACTGCTGCCACAGCCGCGGAGCTTGCTTGATGCCATACAGGGACTTTAGCAGCTGACAGACTTGATTAGGGTCTGTGTTGGATCCGTGTGGTTGCTCGACAAAGATTCCGGCGTTGACGGGAGCGTAGAGGAACGCGTTAGTTACGTCGTTTTGACGGAGCTTCTTCTGCTTCATGGCGGCTATTGCGAGGAGAATTTGCAAGGAGGTATGTCGGCTGACTGGCGCAAAAGTCTCGGTGAAGTCTCGCCCGTGCTCTTGATCGAAGCCACGCACGACCCATCGCACTTTGAATTTGTGGATTGTCCCGTCAGCTTTCGTTTTCATGCGGAAGACGCACTTTCCCGTGAGAAAGATTTTGTTGCGTGCCACTCCGATGGGTACTATCTTCCAGGTGTTTCTGTCTTCCAGCGCTTTTAACTCCCTGTCCATGGCTTCTCGCCATTTTTCCTTGTGTTCCCCCCCCAGAGCATGCTGAGCCGTAGCAGGCTCTCGTCACATTGGTGCGCCATGGACTTTGGTGACGAGCCCAAGAATCTGCAGCCCACTCTGTGTGTAGCGAGGGAGATTTGGGTCCTCGGGATAAACTGCTTCGTCTCCCGCTTCTGGATCAGATAAGAAGTTGGGGCCTATGCGTTCTGAAACGTTCATGTTGACCGGCTGGGGTGTAATGTAACCATTGTCGGCGAAGTCATAGCAGACTTCGGCGTTGATGCTTTCACAAGGGTTTTCGTCGTCCATCGGAATGGGTACCGAACAGTAGGGAAGAGGTCCGGCTTCCTCCGATGCTCCGTCCACGTTTTGCTCATCCCAGTCAGCCTCGTCTGCTTGCAAGGCGAAGGCTCGGTTGCCACGGAAGCCGCCCGTGAGGTCTCGTACTACTGCCAAGTTGTCCAGGTACGTTTGGAGAGTGAGTCGTTCGTAGAAAATCACGTCACGTGCTGCTACTATTTCCTTCGAGTGGACGTCGAAAATCTTCCATGCGTTGTAATGTTTTTCGATGCCCTGGTGTAATCCCCACTGTGCGCGTTGTGAAAATCACCCGGCTCGTGCAGTGTGGGGTCGGTACTGTACCATGCAGCCAAAAACTCGTAACATTTTTGTGTTGCCCAATTTTCATGTCCACGGCAGATGCGGTGATGCATTGTTCGGAAGCGAGGATGACGAAAGCAAGTTGTGTAACAGCACAGCGTGGTCCATCGCCCCAGGCCATTGATGGTTGGGTAGTCGCATGCCACGTAGCAGTTTGCGCATGGTGTTCTGGAGGGTTCTGTTCATCCTTTCTGCCATGCCTTGCTGTTGATGAGCGTAGGGAAGAGAGATGAGTCTCTTGATGCCTCTTTCTGCCAAGTATTGCTTGAAGCGCTGTGATTGACATTCTTCTCCCCCGTCTGACTA